CGGGTTTTGAAGACCTCCAGAGTAGGAGACTCCACAACCTCCCTGGGCAGCCTGTTCCACTGCTCTGTCACCCTAACAGTAAAGAAGCTCCTCCTCACCTGGAGACGGAACTTCTTGTGTTTCAGCTTGTGGCCATTATGATTCAGCTTGTGGCCACATGATTTTAAAAACGGCAATAACTGATACACTTGATAAACTGTTAATCTGTTTTGTTCAAATATGATTTTTATATGTTTTTTTGGCAGGCATAAGTTGTGTAAATAGAAAATTAGAGAGGAACTTTTTTTGTAATCATATGTATGATTACATGTATACTGTCCATACTCTGCATTATACATAGAAAGTCTCTGTAGCTGGCTGTTGAACCACCTTGAGTAGATGGCAGTCAATGAGCCAGAGACTTTATTTAGTGCTGCACTAACTTCTTAATCTTGTCAGCTTCACTGAAAATCTCTCCTACATCCTTTTTTGGGAAAGCAATATTTCTTACAKGCTTATATTGGAATCCGGTCATTTAAGAAAGCTCAACCTACAGTGACAAAAATCACGCAGATTTCTTATCAGAAGGGTAGTTTATTTTACCATATTTGGCTTGTGATCTCAGATTTTGTTAATTAAATCCATTGGATTGGACTTTTATGCTAAAACCTTATTCTTGTTTCCTCATAGAAACATGCAACTGCTCAAAATATTGCTGCACTGAAATATAGAAATGCAACTTGACATGCAAAATAATGGCAACTGACATATGATTTATCATGCCCCATCCTATGACAGGCACTCAGCTAGAATATTGTATTGTCAATATAGGATGTCAGAGCTTTGGAAGTAATTTGCACCATCTCCTTGTAGTTGCTTACAAGATGGAATTGCAGCACAGGCACTTCTTATTAAAGGAAAATGGAGGTTTCRTTGCTCTGTCTTTCCAGTAGTTTCATAGATATGTGCTAATATGCTGTATTTAGGAAGCTAACAGAATTAAAGGCTTCTGCTTAGAACATAAAAGCAGTGTGTCAGAGCTATGTTACCCTCCAACTATTAATACTATAATCCCAAAGTTTCCACAAGTGTAAGTATCTTGTAAACTAATGAGAGGTCAAATTACAAAAGGGTAAATTGTAGTAGTGTGCTTCATTATTAGGAAATTGTGGGACTCTTTCTTTCCCTGAAAGATCATTCAGCAGTCAAGGTTAATACTTTTTTTCCCCCCCTTTAAATATTAGATATATAATTTTTATCTTGATTGTTTTTGTTTTCTTGTAAACTTTCTAGCAGATGGAACTGAGCAGAAAGATTCAGGGATGGGATTATCCAGAAGAGGGCAGCCTCAAACAGAGGACAACATTGAGTAAGTATTTCAGTGCATTGTGGATGCAATTCTCTGATTTTTAATTGCAAGAGATACTAATGGTTCTCACAGAATTAAATTAATACTGATGATTTTTATAGTTTAAATACACCAGAGCTGTATTTTCAAAAGCATTGAATGGCAGGCTTACAGCTATAGAGACAGCTCTCTATAAGGTGCATATATGATAAAACTGTGCAGCCAGTGCTGCTTTTCACTGGTATTGGAGCATCTGATATTCTGCCAGTTATGAGAGTCACATGCACAATACCACACAAAGATGTTAAATTAACTAAAGAAATTGGATTTCCAGACTCTTTCGTGTTTTTTTTTTTTTTTCCAAAATATTGTCAAAGATATAGGGCCACATGACAAGGGCGCTGTTTTTAATATAGCTAACCACAAATGGTCATGATTAAATTTCATATTTATTTTGCAAAGTCCTTTAATTTTTTTTTCTTTTTTTCTGCCACAATCTTATTTTAATCCATAGGTCCACTGACATTAATAGACTTTGGAAATTCCACATTTAGTAAAGCACTTCAGGTTTACAGGTGAAATATATGACTAATATCTGATTAATTGATGCTTTTCACCTTCATATAAAGTTATCCAACTTGGAAGTCTTTGAGGTTATGAGCTTTTAAACTAAAACACTTAGTTTAGATACTTAAAACCGAGTTTTTAAAGCTTCTGTCTAGCTAAAAATCTGAAATTTCATACCTCTTCCAGCTAAAATAATATTATCCTTGATCCTCTCCTATTAGTTTCCATCTTTTTTAATCAGCTGAAATTTTATTCACATTTTTCAACGCTGACTATGCTTCTACTCGAGACCTTATTATGCTGCAGCGTAGTCCCTTCAACGTATCGACTGATGGCTCCATCTCATCCCCTTCCTCCCCAATCTCTCCCATCTTTCTATCAACAGTATCTTTTCTTCTCCTTTCATGTTTTGTGGTAAGTCCGCTTTCGAGCACAAATGCATATAATATATTTTATTATTTCTTTTTTCTATGTCACCTCTGTCTCGGTATGTATGCATCTTTGACATCTCTCTGAGAAAGTCTGCTCCATGGCTCAGCACTGCTATGTCTGTATCGCATCTATTCATTTCCCCTCTGCAGCATTTTCAATTTTGCTGTCGTTCTATGCAACACGACTCCTCTATATTTCATTGAAACCAGAACCTGGGTACCTAGTTCAAATTGTTACCTGAATTCCCAAGCCCTGTACAGATCCTGCATATTCTCTCTCTCGAATATACCGTGAGAGGAATTTCCTGCTCTAACAGCTTGTCACYGAGCACTCACCTCCTCCAAGCATAGTGCAAACGTCTGTTTCCCTACGCACCCATTTGTCAGCAAACTGCTTTGTCCTCTGTGTTCCTGCTTCTGACAATGGCCAGACTGCACATCCTGCTCACCTTGAAAGCACAAGTTGTGCCACTGGCAGTATCACCCTGCTAGTTCAGTATTCCCTGCAAGCTACTTAGCCAACTGATAATAAAGGCTTGAATTTTTCTACTTAGGTGCGTTTCTTTCCTTAGATACCTAAGTGCATGTGGATTCTGTCATTCTGCTTCTACACTCTATTGTTGGTGTTTACTATTGCAGTAGTACCGAGTGTCCCAGGAAAAAAAAATCCCATAGATATTTTACACATTCATATATTTTCAGTGACGAATACTATTTGTGACATTCAGATAAGTGATAGAGCCCAACAGGCAATAGAATTGTTTGGGTTTGTTTGGACAGTTCAGATGCTGAGAAATTAAATCGTACTGCTGCACTTATGGAAAGCTCTAAACTCCAATGAAAGCATTTTTCCATCACACAATAAATAGACTTTATTCTTAGTGACGGCAGCTTTAAAGTTACAGAACAATTTGAATAATCAGAGGTTTTTTTTTAACTGTGAAGGTTTACATGCAGCAATTCGATGTGTGTTTTTTTTTTTAAGTAAAAATTTTCAGAGCACGAGATATTAGTTGACAGACTGATAAAACTCCTTTATAAAATAAGACCTACACAGTAATATTCGATATGAACTTCTGTACATTAAAAAGGTTAAAAAGGTATTTTGTAATACACCAAYATTGGTATTTTCTTTCCTGCATAGCCTTCTGTTGCTATGTAGATGTCATGTGCGAGTGCGAGTCTCCTTTCTATGCAAAGAAGCAGTAGATGTTTTCTGTTGTCTCCATTTGATTTCTGTGTTGATATACTTCAAAGAGAAACTAGCCCAGATGTGAAAAGGGAGATAGTGTAACAAAACTGAACAAATAACATCGTGCAATGTTGTCCATAGTGGACTCTTATTTTAACTTTTAATGTGTCCTGTGGCTACAAACAATGTCTTATGGTGCATGAGATTTGAAAGCCTGTCTTTTTGATTAAATTTCTCTTTTGGAGTAGGAATTAGWTTATTTCCTGTTTTTACCATTGTCTTCTTGCCTGCTCATAAGAAAATCCTCTAATATTACTAAACTTAATTTCCCTATTGTTAAAATGAGGAGATATGTTTTTTGCAGTTCCCATCTAACTAAAGGCAACCCATATTTGTTTTTTTGACACAATCAGGTGCCTGCACAGCCCGTCTGTTCCCAGTTTATAAAGATCCATACTAAAAACAATATTAAGAAAATCTAGGGGGAGAAAAAGTGTAAATAATGACTTTTAGTAAGTGGTRATGTGTGACTGACTGAGATTGTTTTTAATCTTTTATGCAGGTTCATGGAATTGCAGTCTAAAGTTAAAAATTCATTAGCTAAAATTCTGAAAATAAGAGAGAATCTGAAAAGCCTACAGGTTTGGTTTATAATGACTTAAGTTTGTTTGCTTGATGTACCTTTAGTATAAGAACTAAAGCAAAAGTTTAATATTGTAAARAAGATTTTCATTTTTACAGAAGCAAAAAATATTTAACATGGCAATCCATGTGCAATAGGAGATTAGAAAGGAAAAAAAAAAAAGAGAGGGGAGCAGGTCGCAGAACTTCTTGGARGCTAGAGAAGTGGCTTTTCCAAGTATTTATTTTTTAATTTGTAACTCTGCTCATTTTGTGCACAAGTAAAAGCATAGAAAGTGTTATCAACTATTATTTGTATTCCCTGTGATGTATGAGTTRTTACTACATAGATTCTAATATCCTTGAAAATTAAAAATCCCTTTGTACCATTTGATTTTCCATCAATGCATCATCATTTAATAGAGTCTAATTCATGCTAAAAAGAAAATCATTTTTCTGTTTTTTTTTCCATATTTTGTTTCTGAATAAATTTAAGACGAGGTTAGTTCCTGTATATCAGTGTCCTCAGAAATAACTGAATGTTCTCCAGGTGTTGTATTGATCTATTTTACTTGCATATGTAATATGACCAAAAACAAACAAACAAACAAACAAAAAAACCCCCTACAGGTTTCTAATCTCTTAATTGAAATGTTTATTTAGTAAACTCAATTGAAAAGTCCTTTATATTTCTGACTAGATAGATAGTGAATATCTTCAGATGTATCATGAATGCTTAGGAGTGTCTACAATATAATCTTAAGTGCTCATAGTTTTCCTTTATTACTAACATAGTCATGTTGTACATGCTACAAAATTGCTTTTTGGGGGAATTTAGTGTCTATATGTTTAAACAGCTTAAGACTTATGCATGAAGCACAAATACTAGGAGGTTTTTAAGAACCTTTTCAAAGGGACGTGAATTCCATTTCAAAAGCAACATTCTTTTTAACACTTTGTGCACTGAATTCACATGTCAGAGCTTATGCTTATGAAACTAACTTTCAGATATGTTTAATAAGTTTTAGATGTATAGGTAAGTGATTTTGAAATAAGAATTTTAATAATATGTTTAATTTTACTTCTTTCCAGGCGTTAGAGGGCAGTAGAGAGCTTGAAAATATTATCGGTGTCTCAGACTTGTCTTGCATCTTGAGTGCCGAAATGCAGAAAACCCAAGTGCTAAGTAAGGAGGATCAATAACTTTTACCCCTTTTCACCAGTTTAATGAGGACATTCCTGTTTTCCCCCCCCCTCTAGATTTATAATCCACTGTTCATTATAATGGAGTATTATATTTTCTGTGCCTGATACTCGAGTTCTGTTTGTCAGCACTGTCTGTTATAGATGCACTTTAAATGTCCTTGTGCATCCAACCAAGGACATAAAGAGGAGGCAGCCCCAACTGCCCACTCTTCTAACTCCTAGCCAGGATGGAGAGGAAGAACTCGCAATAGCAACACCTTTTCTGATGTAAATAGTTAGATACTTAGTGGATAGTTAGCTAGTGATTAGAGTAAACGTTAGCACTTTGATTGGGTTTCCTTTCTTCTCTTTCTGCAAGGAAGCTGTTCTGTTTGTTTGCCTGTGAGGAGGATTAGCCTGAATATAGGCTTCCAGGCTTTAAAAATAGCTATTCATGTGTCTTTAAATGAAGGACATACCAGATGCTTATTGTGTTGGGATAAGGGCGCTTTAGAGATGCCACATCTGTAATACTTTTCCAAAGAAACACAGAAAATCAAAGATTTTGACTTACACAGATTGTAGGCAGCTTTTTTATCTTTACTCTGAATCTGATGTTCTTGGGACTAATGAATGTTCTGCAGCTAAAAGAGCATTCCTACTTCTCTTCCCAAACATCTCACAACTGGGAAACTGGGAGAGGTGTATCCAATGGGGAAGTATTCCCCATTACAAGCAAGTACAAAAACTTGCCATTCTTCACATAAATATAACAACCGGAGGGACTGAGAGACTCAGAGATTCCTTTAAGAAATAAAATTCCATGAATCAGAGATGAAGGGCACCAAAGAGTTTGGTTGATATTCAGGCTTTAATCACTATACCTCAAACAGTTTATTTGTTTTTACAAATGCAACCATCTTTTATCTAACCTAAATCTCGCCCCTCCAATCGGTACACAGGGCATGTGTGTGTATATATAAATATATATATATATATATATATAAAAAATCACATTTACTTGATACCACTTCTCAAAAATTTTTCATATATGTTGTATCCAACATGCTCTCTTCCTGCAGACTTCTAACACAGACCCTTGTAGGGGTTAGTGCCCAGATCACAAGTCTCTGACAGGGAAGTGCATGCAGTGTCTCTATGTCCACTCCCTGGACAAATGTGTGAAGAAGATAAAACAGTTTCCTGTTCTTCAGCAAACGTGATGTTTTGCCAGTATACATTATTCTACAACCCATTGGACTGCTCTGTTTTCTGTAGAGTGTACACTGGAATTTGCTATAGCAGAGCAGCACACGGGTGGCCAGGACAACTATTTATGTTTACATAAATGGTACATACGTAGTACATAAATAGTACATACATACATACTTATGTTATTATTATGTTTGAAAACAAGGACAGTAAAACCACAGGGGCTAGAGGATTTTTCTGCTACAAAACACTGACATATCTAAAGCATTAGGTTCATGCATCTAGCAGTGGAATATATTTTTGGACCACGAAGAACTGTTTTATAAATGACCATTTCTCTCATGATTTGTCTTTCAGTATTCATCTGCTACTATAATGCATATAACAAGGTACTTTCTTACAGAAAAGAAAGTTTTTTTGAAAATAATTTGCGTTAGGACTGCAAATCCAGGAGAAGGTAGAGAATGAGATGTCAGACCTATTGTTGACACTATTAAGTCAACTTTTTCTTTTTTTTTTTTTAAGCCTTCTTGTTTCCTTCAAAATGGAAGAGAATTGGAAACAAAGCACCATGTCAACACTAACAAACAAAAAAATAATAGGGATAAAATATGGTGTGAGGCTTGTAAACACAACTACTTGAAATAATTTTCATTTTGCAAATATACTTTTTGAACACAGTACACAGATAACTTTTTTATTATCCCTAGAATAAAAACACAAGTGTGTTGACAATAAGAAATAGTATGTACGTATTAATTATTTTCCTTAAAAACTCTATGGTAAAGTTTCTTGACTTCATATTTTTTTCTTCCCTAGTGAGTCAGGCAGAAGAACTACAGCTGTTGAAAACAAACCATCGAAAACTACCTATGCGAGGTGGGACACTTTTTATAATTCATGTGTAACATGCTTTTATAATTTGTTTTAGCTGATTAGCTGAAGCCTTTTAAGCTGTTCTTTCAATTAAAAAAAAAAAAAAAACCAAGCATCCAAAAATTATAAAAATCAAATGTGTTCCTTCAGATTATGCAGGTTGCCCTAAACTTTTACACTCAAATACAAATTTCATATTTTCAACTGTTTTCATTATGTTGGATATTTTTCCATAGAAGCCTATACAGAGAAGAAATCATTATGGTCCTGTATTAAAGGCATGGTATAGATATGAGTGGAATCAGGTCATACACATTTTACATGCCCTCTGTTCATATCAGTTATCCTTGTTCTTCCTCTCTCTTCTCTTCCATCCTGCACTTTCAGTGTTCAAGCCAAGTAACATCCAGTCCTTGCAGCAGAACCTTTATCACCTATATGTTTTGTGAGGTTTTTAGCACACTYTTGGGAACTGTGAAATCCAAACTATTAGGTTTCTTCATAACTATTGCTGAGAAAATATTTGAGGTTGGTAGCATTTAATATAGTGTGGTCCACTTAGCCACTTTAGTCCCTTGTTTAACTGGGAAAGAGAAGTGGATGGAAAACAAGATTTCTTATGTATTACACCCATTAAAACTAACAATCATTAACCATTTCTAGTATTTCTGTTAGTGTTTGTGCATTCTATCTTAAAATTAGCAAAAGCAGAATCAGAGTTGTGATCTGTACTGTTTTGTCTGCCACAGTTGTCCCAACTAGGAGGATTTTTTTTCCCATTGTATCTGTTCATTGCAGTGTGTTTCTCCAAATAAAGTCTTTCTTTGGTGGGGAATTTTCCTCTTATAGTGATGAGAAAATAGAGTGTTTTCYGTGGCTCCAAGAAAATTATCACAAAATTAAAAGTTGAGTTTGTCTCGTTTGTGCAAACTACCATTTTTTATTTACAGTATAAGGTCTGTATGTCCTTTAGTTAAAATGGGTCGCAGCTCTTACCAGGCAGTGGTAATGCTGAGCACCATGGGTCACTCCACATTTGAACAGTCATTGCTTCCTTTGCTCACTGTCCCTTAGTGGTCACTTCATTAATAGTCCCATCTTTGCCTGGAAACTAGCCCATAATGCTAATCAGTGTACAATCAGGGTTGCTGGATAAGAGACTACTTTGTGAAAGTAGGGTAGAAATGAGTTATGAATTGAATTTGAGGGCCCAAAAAGTTGACCATCTTTAAATTTCAATTTTGATTTAACAAAGAGTAAGTTCCATTTTGCTATCTTGAAAATATGGAAGTGGTAGAGACATAAAAAATCTGTCATTTAAAAAAGAATTTGGAGATGTTTTACTTTGCCTTTTAGTTTTGGATATGTTTTTTCATAGTTATTTATGATTAGTTATGCTCAGGACTTAAAACCTATGACTATTCTGTGGCTTGAAACAGATGGAATGTCACATTATCATCACATGGTAAGGCATGAAATTTGCTTTGCATAAACAACCTCTACTTAAAACAACTTAATATCACATGGTGAGGCATGAAATTTACTTTGCATAAACAACCTCTACTTAAAACAAATTAATACAAAACATTCCTTGCTCAATGGGCAGCATTATGTAGGACTCAGTATATCATTTTGTGTGACCAGCATAAAAAATGGCATCATTGTTTGTCCATGACTAGAATTTACAGTAAACAAAATGTTTTTGAATGGAATGTAAGCAAACTGCAGAGCAGTTGCCAAGAGATGAAATCTAGTCAGTTTGCTACAGTCCAAAATACATTTTATATGTGTTGAGAATAAATGTTTAGATTGCAAGGGGCATAAGTTAAAGGAAAATTGAATAAGTTTCCCAATTTGAAAGAGCAAAGATAGCATTTGAAAAATGAAAGCTACTTAAGCTAGTTCTTACAAATTATCGTAATACTTGGTTTCCTAAAAAGAAAAATATTGACATTAATCATGTCCCTGATGCTGCTGTTCAAGATGGAAACAATAAGAGAGTTAGAGAAGATCAAATAATTGCGGTACTAAGGAAAATTATTTTCACGCTGTATCCTGTAATGAAATTACAAGATACTTTTTTTTTTTTTTTTCCTGGTTGTTCATCCTGCCAAACACAAAAGCAAACAGGATTATCCTCATTAAATTTACAACCACCAGCACTGATACAGTTTGGTTCTAAATGTTCATTACTTTCACGTTGTTTTATTTTCGATACAAGTGACTCTAGTTTGCACTCTTTGCAAGGATAATAAAGTCTTTCTGAGAGACCATATCACTTAGTGTTRACTAAATGGATTTTCATTTAACCATATTTGAAATTAATATTGAAAACAAACGAGGAGAATGGACCAAGTAGCACCAAGTTCCCACAGGCCTGCCCAGATTTTCTGTACTTTGTGGACAGTGAAGGCACTGACCTCTTTGCTCTAAATAACTGTGAAGTATGGCAGCTGTACCTTGTATGCCAGGAGGCAGGAAAATAGCAAACTATTTTTTTTGCAGGTAGCTTAATCTGCTCCAACTCATGCAAAAACTTCCCAATAGTATGTTGACAGTCAGCAAAGAAACACCTTCATTAGGCCAAGGGATTCAGCAGTAAATATACCCGTAAAGCATATACATAGAGAGGCAATGCTTTTCTCCGAGATGTATGTTTCTGGTAGCACCGTACCTGAGACTATTATTAAATTTGTCGAGGGACTTGGCTCATCTAACAGCTTGGTCTTCAGCATTACAAGCAGCTCTTCAAAGGAATTTGAGGGTTAACTCAGATGCGAGCTTTCCCTTTCTTGATCTCTTGTTGGTTGCCTCAAAGAATGGGGAACTGAACCTGCTTTCTGACAGAGTTGCTGTTGCCTCCAGGCCTTTTGTGAGCTTTCTGGACTTTGCAAAGCCCCTAATCTAAAAACCATAGGTTTCTCTCTCAGTCTGACCTTGTCTTTACATACAGGGAAGAAATATCATCATACCTTCTCTGGGAAAAGTCAAGTCTGATCACACAAAAAGCTTCTTAATTCTATCAAAGTCCTTTCAGTTAAATCATAGGCTTCTTTCTACAAGAACTGCTGGTGCAGTTCAGTCTCTTAGGCTGGAGGTGAATGGCAGGGAATCTGCCAGGAATCGAGGAGAAATACTGTGCAGACCCGCTGCACCGGTGACAGAGAATTAAAACTGGATTAAGATTACTTCAGTGCTGAACCTGTGTCTATACAAGGACTTAATATTTAAATAAAAGTTAAATAAAAGTTAAATATTTTGTTTCAGTGTCCATATTCAGGGAGCCATAAAAATGATTCTACCTTCTTGCATTTAAAATTAATAGTGAATTGCCCCAAAGTGCATCTTAACTAGGAGAGCTCTATTCCGTTATAATTTGTATTTTGTGGATTAAAAATTGTTCCTCTGGCCAAACTTGACCTTATGTCTTCTCCCATTATATACAAGAAGGCTTCTTCTTAGTTTGTAACTATGGAAAGTCCTGCATAGTCTAGTAATAGAAGCCACCTATTCTGGTAGGCAAAAATCACAATTTTCTCAGTCCAGGTGAGTAATCTTGCCTATTGAAGGAGTATTCCTGAAARGTAGGGAGCTTTGTTTCTGCTTGACCCCCAAATACGCATTTCTCTTTTGGTAGCACAGTGTGGGTCTGTTGGGTTGCAGCTGCACCTCAGAGGTGCATATTTAAAAATACAACCTGAGCTTTGGAAAGTAGCAGGGTCTGAGGTCACAGGCATGATAAGCTTTTTGGGTAAAAAGGGGCAAATTACAAACCTCTTCAATGATTTAACATCCGCTGCTATGTAGATGAAATATTAAGCTATTAACTTTGGTGGCAGATACAGAAATGCACATGAGACATATGACTATAGGCAGCAGACGTATATACATATAGAACTGTCAACCTGCATTTTATATGTAGGTGTCAGCCACATTTATTCATGAATTTCGCTTCTGTTTATACTCTGTTTTCCTATGTACCTTTTTATGAACTAAATAACTATTAATTTTTAATTCTAGCATATCTAGACTTTAGTGTATTAAGCTTAATAAAAAATTAAAAAGAATTGTAGTTCTTTCGACAGCTACATGTAGCAATTCCTACATGAGGATAAATACTGCTTTCTCCCATGAACATAATTATTTAAAATTAAAAAAAAAAAAAAGGAAAAAGCAGCATTAGTTTGGCCTCACTTAGTAGCAATTATATGTTTAAGAGGTGTAAATAACTTGCTATCCAGACATTACAAATATCCAGGTGCTCTGTATGTGCTGATGACAACAAAATTGAAAAGAAAGACTGTAATAATTCTGACTGGTTTTCTCTGCAGAAGATATTGATTATTTGTGTGTGGTGAGAGATTTGGAAAATTCAATTAAAGGAGTTGTGCAAAGGTTTCATAAATTTTCCTTGTACAGCGTGTACACAGACAYTGTTGCGTATTAAATCAATGCAGCACTTCACAATATATTTTCTTTGAAACATAAAAATAAATAACATTTAAACAGTTCTGCTTACTACAGAAACAAATTTTATTTTCTGTGAAGCATTTAGTCATGTGCTATCACTGACTCATACACATTTGCCAGCTGTAACAAATTTTATAGACGTTTTCTCCAGAGACATAGCTCATATACTATGAATTTTTAAATGAGCAAATGGTGAAGAAGGGATGTCAGCAATATAAAAATTGATCAGTTAAAAGATAAAAGCATAAGTAAAGAGATTTGTATGGTAGTCTTAATAGGTTTTATTAAATAAAAATACTATAAAAAGACAGTAATGAATAGACTGAAGGTTTTAACTGTGGTTGAGGTGGAGAAAAATTATTCTGGCACATTTAGTAGAAGATTGGTTTTATATCACCTGACAGGTGAACATTTTTTTTTCTCCCTGCTTTTTAGATCTGTAAATGTTTTAGAGCAGTCAAACTTGGGGGAAAAATGGTGGTGGAAGAAGAAGGTGGAAGGAAACTTGGGAAGCTTCTGCCTTGTTCTGCTTTGGGGGCTCGGTGGGGACAGGGGACGAGGGGAAAGGAGAGCGAAGCGGCTACCACCCCACCCCAGCAAGGTTGGGTTCTGGGGGGGTTACTCTGTGACGCCCCCCTGCTTTAATGAAGTCAAATGTAATTAAGAGTTCTGCATATGAAGAGAGATGAAAAGGTTTGGGTGCCTTCTTTTGATTTGGTTTCAAGCAACTCATTATCCTCATTAGCTCACACACACAAAAAAGCCAGCCGAGCTGCTGTGACGAGCATGAGCGGTTTTGTGGAGCATCTGGGAGATAAACCATATTCTGCATTGACTATTTGAATATCCAAATCGTAATGTCAGCTGTACAAATGGTATGACAGCTTTGTCAAAAGGTGCTAGATGGGATATACTTGGAAAGTTCCCACTGGCCTCTTGGCCTGTTCTAAAGTGGAGTTAGTTACTAGAAGCTCTTTAATGATAATTTGTGTAAACTAATTTTGTTTATTCAGTAAAATATTGGAAATATTTTGTACCCGAGGCAAAGCTGAATAGGTGCCTTTTTTATGAAGCAACCTTCTCTGCCCTGGTTTAGGAGACAATTTCAGGCCTAGCCTGACTCGGCTCCGTGTCAGGAGCTGAGGCCGCTGTCAGATCCCCSCATTGGATTTGGGCATCACATCATGTATGAGAAGTGTGTGACATCCAAGAAATCACCGCAGTCAGAGGAGGACAACTGAGAAAATGAGAAACTGGGGAGAATCCCCTCAGTGCCTCCACTGGCTTGGATTCCTCCAACCTTCAGGCTTCAACACAGCCCATTTCCTTATAGAAGTCTTTCTGACCTAAAAGCCACTGTGAATATCTAATTGTTCTCAGTAGAACATAGAACAAAATTTCTGAATTGTCTCTTACCCTTTTGCAATGGTAGGATTGAAATGAAGCCTKAACCATCAGCACACAGCAAGTTCAGTGAGATCAGAGCTGATCATCTGCTGCAGAGACCACTTGGAAATCTTGGCASTCAGAGGCACCTGCTTCCAGCCCCTTTCCCCTTATGTTCTCATTCCCCACGTTCCTTTGTACTCTCACACAAGTTTTTTCTACTCCTTCCAGCCATCTGCTCAAACCATCACCCCCTGCTGCCCTCCTTGTGCTGGGGAATGGGCTGCCAGGCCCAGGTAGATTTGCCTCGTTTGCCATCACCAGGAGGTCTCAGGGATGGTTGTCCCTTTTATGGTGTCCTTGATAAAGGTCTTCTGCTACTGACRTTATTGATTTTTATTTACTTGTTTATTATTACCATCAAAAAAAAAAAAAAGGATCAGCTTCTAATACTGGTAACACGTTATAGTCTGCTTTGTGGTCTTCAGTAACAATTTAGCATATGTACATACATTCACAACTAATTAAGACAATCTCCTAAATTACTGTTGCTCAGCTGAGACACTAACTATATGGAGGGGATTCTCTTAAACCACGGCAGTAGCTTATTAAATTCCTATTAGTGTGGGGATGTGCCCAAATTCGGTATAAATACTGCTGTAAATACCATTGCTGTGTTCACGAATGCTGGTTTCTTCCTCCAGAGCCTGATCAGCCTGCTGGGAGCTCCGAGTTCCTTAAGTCGCTCTTTGCCTGAGGTGCGTGACCCCCCCGGCCACCGTGCCACTTCTGCGCCTGCCCGGGCCGGGTAAGGCAATTTTAAYAATGAACTTGCTTAAAGCATCCGGAGACCGATACCGTCTGTAGGCCTGTGGTCAAGACTAATAGCTCCATGGGAAAACAGTTGTTACTGTACTTGTGGTATCTCTTACTACTGGCTTGTTAAGCAAAATGACATCTATTGAATTTATAGAAAATCTGTCTCACTCTGAAACATCTGATAGTATTTCTCTGTGTCAACACCGTCAGTTTTTAACTAGATGTTCATTCAAGAATGGCATTTCAGCTGGAACACATGTAACCAAGGCAGGAAAACTTGCGTTCTCCGGCAGGGCTTGTTTATGAATGCCACGCACTGGCACCCGGTGCTTGCAGCGCCCGGGCTCGGGGCGCTGCCTTCCTGCAAAGCCGCTGTAACCGCACTATTAATGCAAAGACAGACTCCTCCGCATGCTCCTTGCAGCCCCTGTGCAGCCCCTGGAGCAGCGCGTGGCCCCCCGAGCAGGTTCTTCCCCAAGGGAAGAGGGGGCTGCAGGGCAGCTGTCTGGTTTAAGGGCGGCAGCAGCTTCCGACCCCTGGGAGCATCTCGCACCCTGTCTCCRTCCATGCACACGCAGCAAGTGCAGCATCTCGGGCAGGCTGCACTTGCTGCCTCTGCACAGAATCCGAACGCTCTGCAAAGAGCTTCCTGCTCAGGAGCRGTGCGGATCGCAAGTACTGCGCTACGGAGGGAGCAATCCCACAGAAACATACTGAATCGGGTACCGTGCTCTGGCTAGTGAGGAAAGATGAAGGAATTGCTGTTAGAATGAGATTTTTAAAAGTAAAACGACTTAAAGCCCCTTCCATTTGTTTAGTCTTACGAGTCCAGACTGGATTTGAGCATGAGGCTGCCCAGGCTSATGTAGCAAGTAGCAAAATGGAGCAGTTTGGGGGTTGGATTGTGGTTAGTTTTTGACTGTCCAGGAATGGAATATTCAGATATGGGGAGAGGAGTGGGCATGGGAGAGGGCAGCATGGAAACCCTGGCCACCCTCAGGTTTCAGTCATAATTTTGGACATAGGCATCTAGAGGCCCACAAATTTGTGCAGGTCTTTTGTAAAACTCATTGTAAACTCCTCATTCTGTGGATGGTTTAATTCAAGCTGCTGCATCATCTTCACATTCCCAGAGCAGAAAGCAAGTACTAACAGACTCCTCAAGAGGTGTTTTAAGGGGGATTAAATTCTTCTTCCTTTGGCTACTGTTGTCGTTCCAGTGTTGCAAGAGAAAGCCCAGTTAGACTGACCTTGTCTACCACCAGATATTACCTGCGCTGCTCATGTTCCATAAATTCTAGTGAGCCAAATGAGTATGAGAGTCAAAGCCAGAAATAACTGCAGCTTGGATCAATCCCCTTTGCAGCGTYGAGAACCTTTCTCCTTTTAGAAAGCTGAAGTATTCTATGTACTTGTAATTTTGGATCATGAATAAGTATATTTACGGTCTTTATAAGCTGTATAAGTGAATTAGCTGAGGCACATGCATTTTGCTTTGCAGTGAAGCTTAAATTTTGTTTTGCAATCATGACAAGTAACCTAATAGCAAAAAAAGAAAAAAAAATCTGAAGGGAAAAAAAAAAAGATTTAACTACAAGCTGATGTTACCCTAATACTTACAAGCTTCTTACATCAAAGGTTTTTCTACTGCTYATCCCTTACAAGCCAACAAGGCCACTGTCCAAGCAAGCGTATCCCTCCCCGGCGCAGCAGCACACCCGGAATCTGGGAGTTGGACACCCTGTGCAGGAGAGCAGAGCTCATGGCCCCTTTTGTAGCTGAACTTCTCCATTCAGCAGCATTCCTGAGTGCTGCAAAATGCACAGAGCGCCCTTTGTATGGCAAAATAACCAATAATCTAACTATTGTATTATGTACATGTATCTATAACTTACTCTGACGTATTAGTTTAAGCTACGCTCATGCTGACAGCAACTACAGGGCTTCAGTTTGAGCTAGCTCAGAGCTCCCAAATCATCACTAGTACCAGACAGTGTCCTTAAGAATGGGTGGTATTTTCTAGTCAGCAAATACCTACTTTGCAACTTAAGCCCCCCCCAAAAGATGCATTTACTGTTTCTTGTTTACCTATGTTGAGATATGACCAATTTTTATAAAGCTCTTCTTTTTCTTACTGTTAAAAAAAATGCCTATGGAATAGCTAGAAATCTCTTAGCACTTATCCATGCAGCTTTTTAATAAGATAAATAAAGCACATCCTTATAGCAGCTCAAAATGCTACTGCAGTTTAGGGGAGCTAATCTGTTGTGCATTACCTCAAGGGGCTGGAGTGGGGACCATGCGTATGTATTTTTTATATAGTGAGGCCAGTACTGGGCAGGTCTATAATTGTGAACAGATCATATAGATGATTGTCCTGTTGTCTAATTGCTACTTATTTTAGTCATTCCTTATCTCCACACAGGCATCATGTGAAAAATGCATTCCACATCAACCCAAAGTTCTACATCTGCTTGATTGTACTTAAAAGGAGAGAAGAAATGACTGTAAACCTATCTCCCCAGCAAATACCAGTTAGGGACTGCTCACTGCGCTGGGCAGGTGCACATCTAGATAAAATTTCTGGCATCTATTTAAACTTAACAATGTGCACAACCAGATAATCTCAATGTAAATAATACATTTCTTCGTGGTTGCTTTATCCAAGTGTGGTGCTAAATGCTGATTTAGATTTACCGCTGCATGGAATTAAGCTATTTCTTATGTAGGCTTCTTCTTTTGTAGGCTCTCGCTGCAAATGCTTCCATGCTGCGCCAGTTAAAAACCAGTGCGGTAGCTCTGCTCGCCCCAGGAACAGGGTAGGGAGAARCTGTGTCAAGGGATGAGCGCTGCTTCCCAGGCGGGCAGCACGAGCCCTTAGTGCCCACAGGAACAACGGCCTCGAGGACAGGGTTGCTTGTGGGGGCTCCCGGGGGGGAAGATTCCACCCAAAAGCCAGCGAAACATCATTTAAAATAACAGATATCCATCCCTAACATTTGCTATTTAAGTGCTCCACTTTTAATGCTCAATATAAGAGACCTGATAGCATTTTTTTTGTCTCTTTTTAATTATCCTCAAAATCCAACTGGAGATCATGTCTCCCAAATTGCTGAATTGTTCTTTCTCCTGTTAGATGATGGCAGTTGTACTTCACACAAAATTGAAATCTTTTCTTGCTACTACTACAAACTAGTGTTCAATGAATTGAGTTTAGCCTCTAAAGTTCTGAGAATCAAAATGCTAAATGTGTTCAAGTGTGTGGTTAAACATACATGTACTCAAGTTTTGAGACTTTATTAATAAAAATATTTTCCACTTTACATGTGCAGTCTGACAGATGAGATATTGCCTGAAGGGAATTGTGTCAGTTATTCTGCTTCTGCACTTCTGTTTCAGCTTTGTGTTGCTGCTTTTTTACAGACAAAAGATTCACCATATTATTGCTTTGTGTAATAAGATTATTTGAGTAATAGTTTATGTAACCTGATTATAACCTCAGTATTTGAAAAATGAGTAATTATTGATCTAAGAGCCTGCGAATGAATTGCAAACTGTGTGTGCCTTTCCAACCAGTGCAGGAGCTGAAGGTTTTCTGCATGGTCTTGCACGGAGAAAACAAACTATTCTGCAGCAAATGACAGTAAAAGGTGAGGAGGGACATTGAGCTTCAGCAAGAATTTAAGCTACGAGAACAGAAGCAGAATGAGGTTTAGTATTTAATCATTTTTAGGGAAATGGAAAGAGAAGGGTTTAGTGTCTGTGGCAAACGTTGCCTACCCGACTGCAATGCTATTTCAGCCGTCGCTTTCTTTGACCTCTCGCTGTACTGGCTTTTGCCTTTCAGAAACAGCTGGCTGTGTTAAGAACCATTTCCCAGTTCCACACAAGGTGGATCATATGGCTCTCACTTTATCACTTGGAGGCCATCTCAAGGACAAAGAAAAGAGATCCACTCAAAACTAATGTTTTTGTATGGGTAGGAAGCACTCTGAACTGATCTCGTGACAAACAACCAATTAAAATGTGAAGCTCTTCCTCCTTCCACTTTATTTCACTGCAGACAGAGGTTCTTCAAGCCGTCTTCACGTCAGGCTGTATTTCTCCAAGTTGTTTTTGCATGGAATTCTACAGATTTTATTTTTCAGAGCCTCTTCAGACAAAGATTCCTATTTATACGCCCTGACATACATCAATGCCCGCCCAGCCACGGCCTTCTAAAAAGAAAGAACATATTGTGGACAGAGAATCCTGCATGCCACAATTACAGTCACACCATCAGAAAAACTACATGCTTGTGAAAATATTTAAGTTTTGTTGCTTACAGAAAAGCAGCCAGAGGAGGGAAACTGCATTCCCCACACTAAACAAAAGGAAGAATGCCTTTCCTTTTGCTCGTAGCTGGCATGGTTATAAGGGTGCCTCTCATTACTCCTTCCACAGCAACTGAAACTGGAAAAAGGGAAGGGAGGGAGGTGCCCCTTGCAGAGCTGCATCCTTCACCTGCTGGAGTTTGCAGAGCAGCTGATTCACACACTCGCGGTTACCCTGCACCGCCACGGCCCTGGGACGTGCTAATGTCAGTGACAGGCTGGTATTTTGCAGAGAGCAGGGAGGTCAGGGTATGAGTCTTTAAACACCGATGGCTAATTTTGTTTTGTTTTTTAATACGCAGCCTATTTCTCCCCGTTCTGCTGACAGGTATTCCTAATTACACTACTATTGTGATTTCTTTTCTTGCTGCTTACTTTATGTGGATCAACTTTAAAGTGGAGAGGGAAAAAATAAATAGCTGGTGACAATTCAGTCTGCAACTTATGTTTTTTGTTTCGTTGTTGCTTTTATTTTAGAAGAAGTAAGTTATGGTGGATAAACCTTTTTTTTTGTCTGGCTCCCAGCTAACATGCAAAGCTAACTTTTCTTGATACATTAACACTAAAATCTAGCTCTGCTGAAATAYATCAAGCTTCATTTTTATTCTTTACGGAGTAGCTGTTAAAACCAGCAATAGGCTTTTCTAGTTCTGTTAAGAACAACTCTTGAGTCTAATGTAAGACTGATACATGTTAAAACCACATGATATCTGCTGATCTGCAGCAAAGGGAAAGTGTGCTCCAACCCGCCACGTAACACAAGAACCCTTCCCTCTCCAAAGGCTAGATCCCAACTTCCAGGTATTTCGAGGGCTTATGTTATTCTTCAGCCTTCTACACGTATTGGTACTGTAGGGAATAACCCATTATAATAAAAAAATAACTTTCATATCAACTTGGACAGAAGCCTGAGCTGAAGCTGCTCCAGAATTACACTCCTCACGTGCTGCAGAACTTGAGTCCATCCTGTGGCTGGCTGTACAGACCTCCTACCTGTGATCTTGACCGTTAGATTTTCTTCCCTACAGCACTGAGTTGGAGAAACAACTGTTCATTTAGATCAAAACCTCAGAACAGCTACTGAAACTGCTCCACAGCCTTGTCACTAGCTTTGATACTGCAGTGTGTTATAGGAAAATGTAAGAGAGGACAATAATAGAACAGACAAGACAATTTATGCCATTAAAACAACACTCGAGATAACTTCGAGTTTACAACAGTCAAGAGTCACTATGTAAACAACACGACTTTGAATTGCTTATATCTTTTATACTGGGAAATGTGTAAACTTAATACTAGCAGAGCAATATGCTGTTTTGCTACAATATCCTGACTGAATTACTGTAAGTTCAAAATTTGGTCCTTTATTAGATATTTTAAGTATTACAAGTCTGAAGAAAACTCACCAAATACAATTTCCAATGCTCTGTGAAATACTTCATCCTCAAAACAGTCTTTAATCATTTCATGTTTAAGTGTGCGTAATGTGTTTCCTGATTCTCCTTAGAACACTCAAATTGTGTTACATCAAACAGGCTGATCTGTAACACCAGACACGATCCGCTGAAAACATCCTGTCCATTCACTTTACTCCTTGATCTTCACAAATTAACTCATTTTCTTCTGACTTCTACTACTTTTTGAGTCCCAGAGTATAACAATGTTAAAATAGAGCAAAAAGAACAAGAAGTGTAAGCAGGAAATGATGGAGACAGCGAGGGGGAACAAATCTGGTAGCCGCTGGGGAGGAGTCACTGTAGCACTCAGTAAAGTCAGGATGCCCATCCCGACTACTGAAACAAGAAACTGCAAGAAAAGAAAGATGGTGATTTAACAACTCRAGAGTAAGCAGTTATTTTCACTGCKTGGACGGCCTGTATTCTTAATTCTGTGGCAAGATGACATTGCAAAAATATTACAGCCTCMCTCCACACAGACAGCACATGGCTTTGCCCTTATGAGGCTGTATAAAAATTATGGACACTACACTGGTTCATATCGGTATTTTAGTAATATGAAGAGCTATAAGTAAGGGCTATGAAGAATTAAAGTTACTTACCAGCTTCTTAACAATCTTTGGAAATGACTTAAACCAAGAAACATATCCCTTAATAGACAGGGAGAACGATTTCAGCTGCAAGTCCTCTGCTGAAGTCTTGTCGAGTATGGAAAAGGATGTGACACAAGCGGACAGGAACGCCAGGGTTGTCACGGTAYAGGCGAACAGGAGCCCGTCTTTCAGGAGCAGGGGCAACAGGCTGTTAAAACAGAATTGCCCACAGAAGTGAGCTGACATTCCAAGCTGTATTTCGAACAATTTAGACAGAGGAGAAAACCCATTTCTATTGACTAGACTCAGGGAAGATTGCTATTTTGGAAGAAATCTGACTCACCTGAAGGTTGATACAAGTAAAAACCACGTAGCCATGAAAGGAATTTCATTTATGATTAAGCAGACCGGTCTGAAATGAAAACAGAAAGGTGACAGTCGAGCACAGCAGCGACAGCACTTTGTTACGCGACCYTTTGCACGGCTGCTGCAGCAGCAGCACCTGCAGCAGCCAAAGCACCAGCCCGAGCGGTGCAGCAGGGACGTGCTGCAGCACTGCACGCCTGCACGGGCAGGACAAGCAGCAGAAAGCAGCACGGCCACCCCGTCCAGCTCCCAAGTACTCGGGAAATAACTGCAGCGTGGAGCAGAGCTTTTAAAATCAGATATATTTGTGAGAAAGCGGTGTGCAGGAACAAGCACACTGAAAAACCCAGATTGGAACATGCGTAYGGATGAAGAAGATACTCACGTTGCCACCAGAAGAATGGATTTTTCATGTACTTGAAAGGAGAATAGGAAGAATGACAACGCACAACTAACCTGGGAAGAGAAAATCAGAGATTTCATGTATTTGACTGCAGCACAGAGCCCTGTGTTACCTTCTCAGCTGGCCTTGGTTGTACATAAATGAACTGAGTAAGTTTAACAAAAACAAACAAACAAAAACCCTAAATTTAACTAAAAAGAAGATCATTTATCTAATTCTTGTGCCACCCAAACTTAGAGAGCTACTCCTGTAACCCCTATACATATGAAAAACAGTGTTTGAAAGTTTACTCAGAATTAGAAAACATTTCACATAAGCAAAGCCCCATATTGCTAAACTTGATGTAAATATCATCCCCGTTGAAGTAARCAACTATTCACATACACGAGCATCATCAGAGTTAAGTCACAGTGAGAACCACCCAGCTTTTTGAGCTTAAATTTTGTTAATCACCATCAGTAACAGTCAATATCTTAAAGTAAGCAGTCATTCTTCTTTTCCCAAATATAAAATACTGTGAAACACAAACCAGCTTTTAAGGAAGTTAAATGGTGGTTGCAGTCAATGCTAAAATAAACATTTAAGCAGAACTTACATTTAAAAAATAAAAGAAATTATTTGATAACTCTTGAGAAACCTCAGGACTATTTTCATATAACTTTGATTTCAAAGAGAAATCATTTTGCATTGAAGTGATGTTACTTTGCTAAATTTACATTTAAAGATCCATGTGAAAAAGCAAACATTTCAGTAAAGTGGTACTGTTCTCTCTGCAAACCACTAATGAGCCTGCAATGCCCATCGTGGGAATTTTTATGGAATTTTGCAGCCAATACCTTAAGAAAAACTATCACTGTAAACACAACAAAACAGAGGAGAAATTTCAACTCTATACAGGGCTTTATTGCATAGGGAATCTTCTAAAGGCTCTTCAGAGGAAACTAATAAAAATACAGCATTAAATAAAGAAAATGGAGGCTAAGGGAAAAAAGTCTAGATTTAAAAGACTAGTCAGGCTTCATGAGACTCTCTCTGATACTCAACTCTAAGAGCAACCAACTTCTGAGGCAAATCTCTTCAGCAGAAACAAAGCGACGTTCAACAGCAGACATTCGCTGCGCACGGTGACGATTCTAGGAAAGGACTTTCTGTAAAACACCAGCACGCGGTGGTGGACTTAAAATAGGAACAATTAAAAATATGCACTTACCAAAGCAAACTTAAATCCTCTGAGAGATGGCTCCAGGGTCAGTTTTATACAAGTGGGAAGCAGGCTCAGGAATGTTACAGCAAAGCTAAAGAAAAAAAAAATTCTGTAATACATGAATATATACTTCAAAGATATTAGAGAATTTTCTAACTTATAGTTTCAAATTTCAGAATTACATGTCAAGAATTTAACAGCAATTTTCACATGCACAGAATCACTTAGGAATCCTCAATCACGAGAGCGGCACTTAATGATCTTTACTGAAATGAGTGGTTTTGAAAATGCAGTAACAGTTGCTTAAATCACTATATAAGCAAGCAGAAAATTACTCTCAAGAATAACTTTAAGGAAAATATCACTTGGAAGAAAAATATAGCATAAGAAGAATGTTTTTCAGGATTTTAAGCATCTCTGTTTTTTGAAAAAACACCATCTTGCACTTCAATCATGTCTTACCTGAGTTTGAGTTGAGTTTGAGGTGATACAATATTTTTTATCTTTATCAGGACACTCAGACTGCACCAAATATTGGCTACTTTATCCTGGGGAAAATAAAAAGAGAGCACCCATTTTAACTTACGCTGGTGCCAATGATGGGGATGGCAGTGTTGTTTCTTTACCAGCATACTGCAAAAAGGTACTTGCAGATGTATATAACTCATATACATAACTCATGTAACTATTTACATCAGTCTCATCTTCATTCAAACATGGAAAATYAAAAGAAACTAGATTAAGATATCCTGAAATAACTGAGAAATAGCTCTCTGAGACTACATGTTTTTAATCATAAGCCCTCATGTTTTATGAGAATAAGGTTTGAAATCCTCCGTCTCCAGTAAATGTCTGCTCATGTGACAGCACACGTGAAATCTTTTTCAGATGTGAAGACATTCCCTATATTGTCACGTTTCATTACATCCCTGCACGTATTTAGCTGCGCTCGCTGCTTGCTAGCAATGACAGAGTTAACTGCTAATAAATCACGAAGTCTAAAGACATTAGCAGTTGTGCTAGGATCACTTTCAAAATTAAATTTGTAACTACAGCTATCACGCTCATGAAACTCATCCCCAAACAGCTGCTTGAATCACAGCTGTGTAGACATAACAGCAAGAAAGCTGCGAGCACCAACAACTGAGCCATCTTCCTCGTGGGCTTGCTGGCAACACGGATCCGCGCTGCGGCTCTGCGCAGGATTACGGGGAGCAGCAGGGCTGGCCGGCCGGCACACGCACGAGACGCCTCCTTAGCGGCCAATACGACTGCGCAACCCGCGGCATTTGCTACCGCGTCTCTAAATGGGAACCGATTCAAAGAACCTGTTACACGCAGCCCAGGATAAATTTCCTGGGCATTGCTTACGTGGACAATTTCTCGTTTTATCTACATTAGCATCCAGTAAGTCACTCCCCGGCTCAGAAAATATTTGGACTAATATTAGACTAAAATCCTCAGGCACTTTCAGGCTCATCCGTTCTTGTCATTTACGGGTTTTATTTTTTAAAACTTTGTGCTGGATAAAAAGAAGCATGATCAAAAATATTTATTTATAAATTTCAGGCAGGAGCCAAGCAGCAAGATCACTGTTGGGGCAAGGGAACATGATGGGTTTTTTTGGTATTTTTTTTTTTTTTAAATAAAATACTATGGTCTACTCTGAGAACACTCTTGTACTGCAGTCTAACCAAAATGTTCCCTTTGGAACATCACCATTAGCTTTTCAAGGAGACAAGAGCTGTTTGTGGTGTTGTTCACATCCAAAGATCAAAAYGAAATTTAGAATTAGGCAACCTATGTAAGCATTTGCTTCAATCCCCSGGAAATCAAACAATGAAAATTCAAAGCTTAATTTTCTGGAAACATCTGAAGTTAAGAATCTGCTTTCAACAGATGTAGTATTAAGGCTCGTCCTGACTGAACACAATATCAGTCCCTTTTACTTGGGAAAAGTGGATTCTTTCTCTTAYGAGCCTGGGTCATTAACTTAGGTAAGTGGTAATTGCTTTGCGGGATTAGGGCTGAGGCACTCAGGACCTGCAGTTGTCAGTAACCTAAGCAGAAGGTCTAAAATTCTTGGAAAATATTGTGGGAAATTTGTACTGAAAAACACACACATGTTGGGTCGAAAAGGAAGCTCTCAGTTGCATCTGAAACACTTTTTTAAAACTAATCTTGTTACAAAAGCTGAGCAGAACCAGAAGGCACTCACTGAAGTTGTTAACTTTTAAGGCTGTATCTTCTGACACTGTCAATTACTATGGAATCCATCTCAGTGGAAAAATGTATGGATTGAAGCATGGGTTTGATGATGGGATAAGTGTTGTCTACTCATATAATATCCTGGAAGATGCCAGCTGAGCTGGGGTTAAATACTGGATTAAATAACTGGCAAGAAATGACTGCTGAGGAAGGCAGCTCAAATTACGAGCTCTGTGGTGTGTCCCCCCCATGAAATCCCGAAAGGTCACCATGAAGGTTTCTCAAGGGATCTAAGAATACGGAACATTTCCCGGCGGGAGGGGGAGAAGAAAACACGCGTGCCTCAAACAAGCCTCGGTCAATGGGAAAGAGCCTCCGCAGAACTTGCACGACTTGCTCCACGTCCGCACAGAAGGGCAGCCAGCAGACAGCAAAGGAAGCCACCACTGTCCCGCCTAGTTTAATTAACAGTATCAATCTGCAAAAAAAAGAAAAGCTTCCATCAGAAAAGTCCTGCTACTTGGAACAAATGGCAGCTTCTACATTTAGTACTTCAAAAGTTCTTTTTTTTTTTCTCCTCCAACAAAGGCAGCAAATCTGAATAACACAAGCTACCCACACAACAGGAAGAGCTCTTCATGCCCCGCCTGGCGAGAGGGACCATCAGAACTGCCACAGAACTACTGCTGTTGGCCTGATTCGGTTCCCCCCTCTTCACCCCTCTTTAGTTTGGGTTACAGAATGAAGGGTGTAGAGGAGGGACAGCTTAATATACTTTGTTATCCAGTCAGCGGACTAAAAAGTACAATTAGATTTTTAACAAGGATCTCCTCAGCAAGAAGCACTTATCTGGCATGCCAGGAAAGCATTCCAACAATGTGAGCACCTTCCACCAGAAGCTCATTCAGAAACCACCCCATGCAACACAATGAACCATATTCTCACTGATAGGCTGCGCAGCTGGAGTCTGGAGCAAAATAAAGTGGTTTAAAAATCACTTACCCCTTTCCTCTCAGTCCCTTCTTGAAGCACTTCCCAAGTAAATAGCAAAAGAAGGGGGCAGAATGGTAAAGTTCCATTTGTTTATAATTTAAGGCCAAGCAAAATGCGACTGAACCCAAAAGGTCCCAGTCATGACACAAAAACAGTATTCCCCATAACGCCAAGCCAAGGCTCACTGAGTTGTATATGGTTTTTAATGTCAAGGACAAGATAAACAAGAGAAGCAACATCTTAATACTTGAAGCTAGTGAATAAATGCCCTGGAGGACAAGGATAAAACAGCRCACAGAGTATGTTTTTCCAAGCTACTTTTCAAAGTGTGTTGCCACTTGTGACTCTTTTGCTCACAAACAGAAATAATTTTACTTCCAAGTCCAGCTATGTGGATGTCCAAGGCTYGATTCAAACTTTGCACAGACAAAAATGAGGACAAGTTTTGCATATGTGTCTTAAATACACATGTACTGTACATTTCTTTTCCTTGATTTTTTTCCGTTATTAAGAGTAAGGCTTTCAAGAATCTCTCCTTCCTTGCCCCAAAAGATGTGTACAGAATAGTAAAATATATTACCATTTAAAATGCATTTTTCTTTAGCTCAGGGACCACTGCGTGGGGAAGACATCACACTCACAGTGCATCCTCATCCCGTGCCCAACTCCTGTAGCTGCTAATAGTACACAATGGATAAGAGCCACCACCTAAAGCAACGGTACTTCCTTCTCACTTTAGGAAAGGGTTCCCAGGCAAGAGATATTTGTATCCTCAGCAACTTCCAAATATTTTATCCTTATCAATATAGTTAGGACAATACATTCAGACTAAGTTTTTTCAACCTATTAATTTCCCACTCAAAAATCACCATATAATTTTGAGATCTCCTCAGCTTCACATCAACAAACCGTTCTACCAAAGGGCTGTGACCTTGCAAGGACACACAGCAGTTAAATAAATCTACTGACTTCTTTGGAGCAGCCACAGGTAGCAGTTACTCACAGAGAATCACAGGGCTGGAAGTCACCCCAGGAGGCTACGTAGTCCATCTGTCTGCTCAACTACTGTGTCTACGGTGCCTGTGTCACTCCTGGCAGTGTTTGCTAAGCCTTTTCTTAAAGATCTTTGTGCTGCAAATTCCACAACTTACACAGTCAATAAGTTGCAGCATTTCATTGTAATTTGAAAGATTTTTTTCAAAAATTGAAAAGATTTTTTCAAAATCTTTCAAATTTGAAAGTTTTCAAATTACACTGAATATCAAATTTTCACTATTTGAAAGATTTTATCTTAATTTTTAAACCAAATATTCCYTATGGTAGTCAACAGTCTCCATAAACATCAACTAATTATCAGGGTTATAATTCTTGTGGACACCTCTGCTTTGATGTGGGCAGAAGCCCYATTCATTACTTCATATACAAAGTTAACCTTTTCCCAGTTAAAGACAAGAACAGTGTTATTTCACAAAGTGAAATTCTTTTCGCTGCAAATACAAGGATACTGAAAATGTCCATGGTCAATAAGAATTAGGCCTGGATAAAGCAATATACAGAGTGCAGTGGAAATCTGGAAGGAAGGATCAAACAAAGAGAATGAAAAATAATTATTTATTTAAAGGGCAAACATATTGCAATGCATGCTGCTTCTGCAGTGCAAAATTTGGCCTTCAGTAGTCCCCCTCTCAATGAAAGAAACCTTCTCTCTCCAATTAATCTTATGTCAGTAATGTTTTGAAGAGTTAAAAAGTAGTAAGAGTTAAAAAGTAAGTAAAAAGTAGTAAGTAAGAAAACACTGAAAGAAGACTGATCTTTCCTTTGCCAACCAGCTTAAAGATCACTCCCATCCACCTTAACCCCTCACTGCTCAAAAACTGCTCAAAAATCAGAAGACTTCTTAGTTCAGAATATATGATTTACCTTAAGGAGCATGCATGGCAGAAGCTGCCAGACTCCCCTATGTCACAGCATAAATCCTGTTTTTACTATACAGATAATAAATTTGGCCAGAAAAATAATTCAGGAGTTCATGGCCAGAAAATAATTCAGGAGTTCACTAAACTTCAGTGCATTTTGTTATTGAATGCATTAAAATAATTGCTGTAAAATAAGTTAATGGCTTCATTTAAGTGAAAATCTTTAATACAGGATATACTGATTGCGATCAGTTTTATGTCAGCTGAAACCATTGTGATGTTCTGTACGTTAATCAAYGCACAACCTGTTAAGTTTCTATATAGTTTAACTGTATGTTTAATTTACAGGTATCAGATACTTGCCTTCTTTTTTGTAGATGTTTCTTTTAAACAATTACAATATAAAACAACTGCAGGAACATAAATCAGCAAATCTGCAACAAACACTGAGAAATAAAGATTAACTTCACGTTAGAATCCTCCCAGATATCTTACTGTAATGCAGTCAACATTGTCTATTCTCATTTGACTCTTTCATCTGAATCTTTGATCTTTGACTTGGCTGGCAGTTTTACCCTGTTAACTCCTCGAATCTGGGTTGCATTTGGTATAAAACCCCCAAATATAACAACTACAGAGTTGCCTCCCTTTCTCATACTGGTTTTACATCTATTTAACATGTAAACTTCAACTTAATCATTCGTCTTGACTGAAATTCCAAAGCTCGGCAGGATGTATTTTCCAATTTTTCATATGTTGCATTAGAGTACGTTCCATCATAGTATTTTAGAGATTGTTCGTGCTTGGAGGTCACACAGAGCTGTTTTCAAGTATTTTGCAGAAGAAAAGGGAAAATTTAAGCAAAGAAACCCCAACATGGGGAAGATCTTCAGAGTAACAGGGTAGTCTCACTTTAAAGGAAAAGAGAAATAGGCCTACAGAATTTGATCTTGTTAACATTTCTACGGCTATCATTGCTGATGCCCCAAAGCTGCTGCTTCCATGCGCTCAGCTGTCCTGGCTGCTGGCACAACCTCAGTCAGCAAAGGAGCACACGCTAGTTCCTCGCATGCCGGACTGAGASAAGGCATTCTGAATTCTCAAAGAAATCAGCTACAGCTCAACTCAGTCAAGCTGCTGGAAGGCACTGATAAGACAGAGAGAATTAAGACGCTCTCAGCTACAGCAATCTCCAATTTATTTTTGTGTGAACGTAAAGTGGTCGGTAGTTTAAAATTAAGAATTTGGTTTTGATTGTCYGCTGATAGCAAACATACAAGATTTACATACATACAAGATTATTTACCGGGCCAGGAGGTCTGCCTGTCTGGAATTATGGAAACTCCTGTTTGTGCTTAAACCACCAATTTAATTCTCAACTGGCGTCTTAAATTCCTGTCAAATTCTCAGATTATTTCTATAATCAGTTTTCTGAAAAAGCACAATTATTCTAAGAAGAAAAGCATAATTTAATCTTTTTCTGGGTCATGAGCTGTCAGAGAAAATGCTTAAAGATACAAGATTCTATCCATATGATGATCATTTTGCAGGCTCAAGCCACAACTAAACAAATGTACCCAAGGCATTAGCAAAATAAATATCCCAACACTTAATGCAAAGGTGTAACACCAACAGCTGCCACTCAGCATTCCAAGCTATTTTAATGCGCAGTTTTAATGGCTATTGTTGACAGAACATTATCAGTTCCCCTAAATTACTGGTATGTCAAGTTATCTGCAATATTAATAAAGAATATTTGAAGGGCAGTTTACTACTAGTGATTTTTTTAAGTTTGTTTCCATTTTAAACAATTACTAGGAAACAAATTGTGAGGCTTCTGAAGCACAGAACTGCTTTGATGACCATCATGATCTGCCACTGTAACTGGTAAAAAAGAAAAGAAGGATTCGCTCAAAAGAAAGCATTTTATAGAACTCTACTGTCACATACAGCAGAAGACAGATCTAGACTGGAAGAAAACAATAAAAGGACAATTTGGCATCTGTCATCACCCAGAGAACTAGAGTTCACTGGCCACATCATTCATTTCTCTACAGATACAGCTGCTGAATTAGATTATTTACATTTTTGTGCACTTGTTTTATCCTTTGTGTTGCAGAAGCAGATCAAAATAGTCAAGCGGTCAGAAAGTGACAGAATGAAAATGAGATTTAGTGAAGAGCTGGTAAAACATACTTGTACTTTTCTGTTAACATATTTTTACTTTTCTGTTAACACGAGTTTATTTTCAGAAACGCGTTAGCATTTGATAAAAATGACATCTTTAAAAATATAAAGTAATTCCTCTTTTCAGATATAGAAATTCCTAATAAAGATCTCTGAGAGCCTGCTACGTAAAGTCAGTGAAGGCCAGTCAATTTGGCAACTAATTTTTACAATAAAAGCCAAGCTAAACATAAAATAGAATTTGTAACTGTCAGAACAGGAAAAAAAATGGGTCTAGGCTACCAGGAAGTAGCATCATTTTAAAGTTCCTACTAAAACAGTCCAGTTGAAAAATTCTCTGTACATTTAACATTATCAGTTTCATATATGAAAGCAGAAGTGAAAAGAACAGCTCTATTCATAACATTTAGATGTGCAAAATCACCCAGAGAATTGAACAAAAATTGGTGAAGAGAGAGAGAAGTTAAAAAAAAAAAAAAAAAGCTAATTTGCAACTTTGTAAGATCATCCTAAGGAAATACAATTTTCCTACCTGTTGCACGCATAAATAACTTATGTAGTTGACTCTCGTATCCCTGAGAGGTGTGCAGAGCAATCCAATCAGGATTTATTAACTTTGCACTGTCAAAGAAAGTACAGGCACATCAAAATGTAGACAGTTCTCATTTCCCTTTACATTCCTTTCAGCAATAAAGATGATATGTACAAGAGCATATTCTGAGAATTAWGATGAATGAAAAGAAATATTTCAAAGAGCAATAGCGACCAGTAAAAGGTTTCTCTCACCATTAGATGAGTTTACACTATAGAGATCAGCTGCTATTTCACAATTAAAAAAAAAAGAAGAAAAAAAAAGAAAAAAAAGAAAGTTGAAAACGAGAAAATTGGAATACAATATTTATCAGGACAAGATAAGTACTTCCAGCCTAGTCCCACTGACTTTAAGAAAAAACAATTGTAAATACCTTTCATACTCAAGTATTAAATATAAACCATTTACAGTTCACATAGATGTCCCACATAACTGTGCTATGCACTTTAACCTACATTCTTATTCCATAAGTCTCATTCCAATAGCAGTAAAGCCCCTGTGGAAAAAGTATTCCAATAACAGAATGCTATCTACATGGTATCCAGTCATCAAATGTCACTGCAGCTCTCAATACAAGGGAGGTTTCCCATGGGATGCACCCGCTCCCTACAGCACTCTTCTCCCTGCATCACTGGTCTCACAATGGCTCATTTGGAAAGCTAAAAATCTAAGTCACACTTAAATTAACTAATATTTAAGAAGCTGRCAAAAAGAACCCTGACCCTACAGTCCCTCCACCATAATTTCAAGATAGAAAAATAGCAATATTAATTTTTAAGCTGCAAGGATACATGTGAAATCTATTTCCCTAGTTTTAAAGAAGCAAAAAGCTATTTCATCAGCTGTCTCAAGATGGTAATTTCTAGCTAGTAGTTTCTTTCCTAAGCTAGGGACAGGAGGGGAGATGTAGGAGTGAACTTGGTGTTTTACACTCTCAACACAAATAAACATTTAAAATAATGAACTTACACATAAGCACAGAGAAAACTGTGATAGGCAGTAAGTGGTGGATAATCAAGGCCCCAGTATAGTAGATTGTTGTCGCTTGTATTGAAGTACCTAAAAAAAAAAAAAAAAAAAAAGGAAGGAGATATGCATTTCCAGCATAGTTTCAGACTGAGAAAACATTGAACATTAAAGCAAAGTTGTTGTGTGGGGCTTTTTCCTGCTTTTTTTCCTGCTTTTTTTGTTGTTGTTTTTTTACCAACACCTTCCAAAGGAAGTAAGCACCTTCTACATCTGCCKTATTTTCCTTTTACAAAAAGTCTCAAGCAAGAGAGCAAAAGCAAAATGATGCAGAATACACTCATCTGTATTTGCAAAAGAGAACACAAACACATAAAAACAGCTAGTCCAAACTTGCTTACAATTTTAATTCACTAGTGATTTTCCTTATACTAATCCTTTTTGGGTGGCACATTTCATATGCAACATTGACCTCTGGGCAGCTGAACTTCACCTGCTACATTTCCAGGCTCCGTTGTATTTTTGTCGATGGTGAACACTTGTGATCTGTCCCATGGGTCTTAATATGAAAACTTGGAAAAAATGTACGTGGAAGTTAAGTTGTTGAAAAGCAAGTGAGTGCTAGGGGAGCAGGAAAACATAAAGGTATTATACAGATGGACTACAAAAGCAGCATATATCTGCAGGAATATAGTGCTACAGCGGGTATATTGAAACTTATTTGCCTAAAAGCAAAACTAAGTTATTGGACTAATGCCTCCGGACTAGCCAGCAAACACATGGTGGGGAACTTGAATGAGATCTGCCACCTGCAGCCACTTTACCCAGTCCTACTTGAGAATATAACCCAGGAGAACAAGAGGGATGGGAAGGGTTTTCCCGGTTCTGCTATGTTGCTATTTCCATGGGAGGCTGGCTGCAGCCAGAATTAAGGCACCTCTTCCAAATGAGAAACAAAAACTTTTTTTCCAAAGAAAACAGAAGTTACAAAAATAAGACATTGGTCCTTTAAAATATCAGAGTGAAACAGATTGACTCGTCTATTGTTACTGCGAAGGGGCAAGGCCCTTGGCTTTTCCAGTTCCTCCACTCAAATGCAGCCCATTTCTGACATTTATTATAGTACATGATATTTCTTGGATTCTATATATGCTGCCTGAAGACTCTTACAAACAACTGATGATAAATGATATTTTTTTAAGATGCATCTCTACAACTTATCCTACTATCCAGGATTGCTTATGCCAAGGCAGTTCGGATTTTTCATACRGTTTTTAATATTTGGCAGTAAGGTCTCCAGTTACATTGTGTGTTTCTAACTTTTACCTTCCATAAACTCCGAGCTCCAATTAAAAAAAAACTATATGCAGTAATATTTAGCAAAAAGCCTATCTCTGTTTTAATTGTTGCAAACTATGTTATCATAGATAACACAGTTAACACAGATAACAGCTTAATACCTATTAAGCTAAAGGTCTGAATGTTAGTATGTTTCTATTACGAAAAAAACGGCACTTCAATCTAAGAACAGGAACAGCACCACCACAAATGGGTTTTTGGAGTAGCTCACAGAGTATTAAAAAGAAAAAAAAAAAAAAAAGCATAGAAATCTAAAAAGTGCTACATTTACACCTATGAAACCTGGAATATAGCAGTGCCACGTACCACTGTTTGATGGGTAAATTGTAAGTAATTTCTTGCCAGTGTCTCTGAGCTTCATAGTCTCCATACATAGGTGGCTTTCCTGCACCTAAAGAGATGACAAAAAGTATTTATGAATTTATTCCATTTACACACRTTGTTTTTCCTCTAAATGTGTACCTGCATATAATACACCACTAATTTGATTCTCCATTCTTCTGTTATATTTGATAAGCAAACAGCAAAAACAACCTGCTCAGGAGTCTAGCAGGGAGGAAAAAAAAATTTATGCATTCCTTTAGTTTTTGGGGTATTTCTGTGATAACCACTTATCAAGATATTCTGCTGCAAATGGAGAAATACAGTGGCTTCCTCACCTGACAAAGGAAAAATCACGTGGAAGCATAGTATGAAAGCTGAGGCATTTCTTTGAAATAAGAAAATGCACATAATCGACATCTCATGCTGATTTTGTGTGAACCAATATGCTTTCTGCATATACAGAACAGATACTGTTCTCACTTATAACCATGTCATGGCACCTTGCTATTAGAATTAGCAGCCAGCTGTATTTTAAAATTTACTTACCAGGAAACAGAGAAGCATTAGAATAGCTGAAGTAACATTTTGCTTCCTTCTAAAATTTTGCATACAAGTTTATTTTAACTTAGCACAAGCTCCTTAACGTGGCTGTTCAACAAACTATGATATCTGTTACCTGAGTAAGAGCCAAGTGATACGGTCCAGCGTACAGTAAGTCCTAGTAAAACAGCAATTGTCATTAAGCTCCACTTTTCCATGGCTGATCTTTGTAACAAGCCAGATGCTTCCTGAAATGACACCAGAAATATTTCTATAACACTGTCTCTGCTTTGGTTCCTTAGGTAGTTAACGACACTGCGTAGTCCCAGTTTCCTCCCCATCCCTAGAAAAAGTTCTAAGTACAAAGTCAAATGCTGGGCAGAAGCAATTGAAGCATCTTTCTGAGTTACAAGCTGACCAGAAATCTCACAAAATGAAAAAAAAAAAAAAAAAAGAAAAAAATNAAAATGAAAAAAAAAAAAAAAAAAAAAGAAAAAAATGAAGAGTGAAAGATTTCAACTCACTGATGCCAGAAGTCTCTATATTGTATATCCATGGTTCATTTTAATGTACCTAAGCTTCAACTTAATAAGTTCCACACAAATTGTTACGCAAAAATGTAAGGTGGGTTTTTCTCTGTACGTGATAACTGGAAATCCGTAGATTTGTAACTACATTTGGTTGGCCTTCTAGTGAATTAACTGCATAGAATAATAAATAAATATCTAAGTTAATGCCATTTATTTTCTGCTTATGTCATTTGTTTTTGATATATGCCTGTCCACACATTAGCTCTCCTGCACCGGACAACGTATTTTAATTCTGTCAGTTAAAGCCTATTCTACCCTCAACAGCATATTCACATTGTTTCTTCATACTCTGCTGATTTCATTAAATGTGGCTAGAACTGAATTCTAAAGACCAACAAATACTAACACTAATGATTATAATGATTATTATTACATGACCACTACGTCAGTGATACAAATTTGGTTCTGATTGTGACCTAGGAATGGAAAGGTACGGCCTCTCAGATCAAAAATCACTGATTGGAACCTGCTTTCCATCTCYCAGAAACTCAAAAACAGGCTTGAAATTCAACCCCTCCTTTTCCAAATATAAGCACACTAATCATCGCAGATTCTTCTCCCTAAAGGATCCGTCAGCTGAAATCTTCTACCTGGCAGAAGAAATCTTATTCTACATCCTTTAACACAAAAAGGCAGAACAACTGACGTTCTGCTTGACCATGGTAAGGATTGGATGCAGTAAGAATAAGGGGTGTTCCTAGATCTGTCAAATTAAAGGCTTCATGCACCAAGCTTGGGAGTGGAGGTATACCAAGAGAGCTGCTACCCTGTGCAAAAAAAAAGGGCTAAAGAATATACAAACTTTGATCCAGAGGACCAAAGAGATTTGGTCAGCAGTAAATTTAAAGCAAATCTAAAGGCTGAACGAGCGGCACTAGTAGCACCATGCCCTCCTCAGTCAGTAACAGGTTCGTTCACGCAGTGAACAAGTCTGGAAAGGACTGTCGAGGACTTCCCCCTAGAAAGGGGCAGCACCAGTTCAGGTGGGTTCAGCATACCTGTCCCTGCCAAAAAATAAAGAAAACCCACAGCAGCAGTATTTCAACTTCCATTTTATTAGCAGACCAGAAGCACTATAAGGCATGCTAAAGRTTATTTTGCAGAATGAAATCCATATTCATTTGTCATCTACTGAAAGCTGTAACTGATCAACGTCAAAGCAGAAGGAAAAAAAAAAAAAAAAAAGGACGGTCTTTGAATAACATAAACCTGTGACAACAGCAGACCATCCTCTACAGGCAGGAATATGAACACTAATCTTGCAAGCTTTCTAGGCTAGGATAAACCTAGGATGGGCACATTTATTGCCTATCTAAACCACAGGATAGGCACATTTAGTTAATAAGATACGGTGCTTGTTGATAATTGACTTCCAAAATTACATGTTGCAAGTTTGGGTTTTCCTCTCCGTAAGGCACCCRCATCTGCCCTTTCCTGTCCATCTCCAGCTGGAACTGGTGTCTTCTCACCTACTTTGGCACCAGTAACCGAGACCAAACCCACTCATTCTTCTYTCTTCCCAGGTTATTTGGGAATCTCACCTGCCTGCCTCTTGCAATCCCCTCCTCCTACCTCTTCCCTCCCACTCGTTGTAACCACTTACCAATTTTCCTAGTGCCATTCCCACCTGAACAAAGCCTCCCACTCTCCCTGCTCCTCTCATTCCATTGCCATTCCCTATATTTGGAATTGCCGTTCTCTTGGTTTTCTTAAGTTTCTTCTTTTGTTCCTCCCATAAGCAACTCTTGAAAGTATTACTTTTTTTTTTCTAAATTTATCTTAGTAATTCCTCCAAACTGCCCAAAACAACCCAGACCAGGTGCTAAAACTGCGGTCTCTGAACTTCACCGTGTAACAACGCTATGCAAAGCAAAGCGCACATTGCAGGGGAGGGCAGCTGGTTCCAGGGCTTTCAATTTAAACCAAATACATATATGTGTGTGTGTGTGGGTGTGTGTGTGTGTGTGTGTGTGTGTGTATGTATAAATAAAAAGCTTTTGGCCTGCGGACAGGCAGCACCGCTAACTCTCCGGGGCTGCCCACGAGCACGAGTGAGAATTCACCTCGTTTGCTTAAAACAACTGCGCGGTTTTTGGTCCCGCCGCTCCCTTTCCTTCAAGRCGGGCGCTCATCCCTTAGGACCCCTCACGATCCCTCCGTCCCCCCTCTCCCCATTTAACGGGCAGCGCGACAAGCCCTTTCGCTACCCCCTCCATCCCAACCGCCGCCCCGCGCGCTTCCCAAGGGCTCCCGCTTCCCGGGGGCTCCCGCCGCGTCTCCTCACGGGGCACAACGGCGCGCGCTCCCCGCCGCCAGACGCCGCCGCTTCCGCCCAACGCCGCCGCGGGAGCGCGGGCGGACACTGCGCATGCG